CTGATATTTTTTTTCTTCCTTGCGGGGGATGCGTTCCGTGCGAGTCTGCCTGTCCTTCTATGCCTATCTGTCTGTGGACCGCTGTAGGTACATACTCTACCACAGTATAATAATGTAAGTACAAGTAGGGAAGAAGGTAGAGCGTATGTGTAGCTACCGGTGGTGCAAAACACCTGTGCCAGGGTCTCGACTGGCCATCCGAACCGGGCGCTTAGAGGGTACATTGGGTAGAGTCCTAGAGACGGACCCAACCCATGCGTGACCACCTTGCTGCACGAGCAGGGGGGGGTATTGAGAGGTCCCTCGTTGCCGCTGTTCCAATCATTACGTCTTCGCGATGGAATTGATGGCCCAAGCTTGCGACATAAAAAAAAAATTTGGTCATTTCCGGAATGGCCGCAATCCGCTTCTGTCGTGGGCTGCGAGGGCAGGTATTGGCTGGACCGTGAATTTGGTGGGAACTGCTTGGGGTTAGAGGCATGGGAACGCAGGGGCAGGAGACCCTAATGTTCGCTTCCCCCCCGTCAAGCTTCTCGCTTGGAGGGGATGCTTACTGGCAGGGGTGTGGGGGGGGTGGGTGTGGAAGTTGCGGAGGAGGATTAGGAAGAGGACGAGGAGGATGAGGCAGAGACTGTGTGGGTGGTGGGATCGAGTAGGAGGCCGGAGGCACACACACACACACACCACCACCACATACACACTGGGAAAGAATCTGCAGGCACTCACGGGCCAGGAGCAATATGAATAAGTAGAGCCGGCATGCCCCCGTCGCCCGTGATACAGAAGAAGAGACCACTCTCCAACTGGCCTGGAAGAAGTACGCATATAACGTTAACTGAAGCCAGAGATATATATGTGAAGGACTGGATATGCTTTGAGAGCAGCAGCTACCCAACAAGGAAACACCCCTCTCCAGCAGCCACTCCCCCCCCCCCCCCCCCCTCAAAAAAAAAAAACACAATAACACACAATCGTCCTGTTCGTCCTGTCGAGCCGGACACTGTAGTCGTCCTAAGGGCCCGTGTAGCCTGCCGGATCACAATAATAGAACAGAAGAAAAAACACAAAGATGTCATTACCCCTCCGACCCGGAGATGTCCTCAACCCAAACCTATACAACAACTCGGACATAGAGGTGATATTCTACCAGCGACGGAAAGCTCTGCCATGGACATCGGCGGGGCAGCATGCTCTGGCATTCGTCTACTTTGCGCTGGCACTCCTGATCCTGTTTGGCCTGCTCAACCTGCACGACATCCTGCTGGACCGCCGAAGGCTGTCGTACACACACGCCAACGACCAGCACCACGGGCAATACCTCCTCTCACAGGAGAGATCAACATTCGACCGTCTCCTGCTGCATCTGAGGTCGTTTGGCTACACCCGTAGCTCCTGGAAACGCATCGGCACCACCAGCTTCGGCCTCGGCATACTCATCCTCCTTGGCTTTGCATACCCCAGTCTGTATGTATTTGCACAGCACCCATACTACGAGCGTGAGCCCCGGTTCGGGCCCCCGCCACTCGCGGGGAGAGGCGGCATGACCGCCCTGGCAATGACCCCCTTCGTGCTCATGCTCGGCATGAAGAGCAACCTCATCAGCGTCATCACCGGCGTCGGGCACGAGAAGCTGAACGTGCTGCACCGCTGGCTCGGGTACTTTCTGGGCTTCTTCAGCCTTGTGCACGCCGTGCCCTTCATCATCGAGCCGCTGCGCAACGGCGGCCCGGGCACGCTTGCGGCGCTGTTCCGCAACCACATCGTCTACTGGAACGGCGTGGGCGCGCTGCTGTGCGTGCTCTTTCTGTGCTTTGGGAGCCTGCCGTTCATCCGCAAGTGGTGCTACGAGGGCTGGGTGCATCTGCACATCTTCTGCGGCGTGGGGTATATTGCGCTGCTCTTCTGGCACTGCGCGGATATGCTGCAGTCGTGGCACTTTTTGTATGCCACGGTGGGCATCTGGGCCACGCACCTGCTGTTCCGCTTTACGATGCGCACAAACTGGTTCATCACACGCAAGATGTTTGGGGGTGACACTGCACGCTTTACGGCGCTCACGAACGACGGTGTCAAGGTGACTATTCCGACGAGGATGAAGTGGAGGGCGGGGCAGCACATCTTCTTGAGGATGCCCGGGATCAGCTTTTATGATAACCACCCGTTCACGGTGTCCAGCGTGATGAGCGACGAGGCTGGCGGAGATGGGTATAACGATTTGGTTTTGGTGTTCAAGCCGCACCAGGGATTCACACGGAGGGCGTTCAACATATCACGGAGCATGCCGGACGCGACGTTTACGGCCTACCTCGATGGGCCGTATGGAGGGCTGTCAAGGAAGCTGGAGGCGTTTGAAACGGTGCTGATGATTGCGGGTGGATCGGGGATTACGCCAATTGTGGCTCATCTGCAGCACTTGGTGCAGAAGATCAAGAAGGGGGAAGCACTGACGCGGGATATCAGAATTGTGTGGACGGTCAAGCACTTTGGTATGTCCCCTGCATGAGTGCCAATGATTGTTATTCTACCGAATGAAACTTGGTGAAGTAAGCTAACAAAATACAGAATCACTCGAATGGTTCAAAGACGAGATCTCGGCTGCCGCCCGCGCCCTCCCCCGCAACATGCTCCTCTGCCAATACTACGCCACCGAGGAGACCCCCGTCGAGCTGCCCAAGCACGCCGTCTCCGCCACACGCGAATGGCCCAGCACCCCCATCACCCCGTCCTTCCGCAAGCCCCCGCCGGCACTACTGCGCCCTCCGACCGCTAACTCGGTCGAATTTGAGGAGCGCCCGTTCGGCTGGGGCTTTGGCATGGAGAAGGAGATGCACACGATGAGCAGCGCCGAGCCCGAGAGCAGCACCACCGACAGCAGCGGCGCAAGCCCCATCTTCAAGTTCCCGCCGAGCCCGCGCCTACAGCGGCGGTTGAGCATGGGGAGGCGCGCGAGTGTAGGGCAGAGGCTGTCGGGCATGAGCATCAACACGCAGCGCATGTCGGGGATCAGCGCAGGGAACGGGCCGACAACGCCGACGGCGCTGCCGCCACTGGGCGACGAAGTGCTGCTGGAGTTTGGGAGGCCGCCGTTGAAGGATGGGTTAGGCCCGTGGAGCAGCACGTTTGGCAAGCGCACGTGCATCTATGTGTGTGGACCCGAGCAGATGAAGGTGGATGTGGCGAATGCGGTGGCAAAGATGCAGCCGGATATTTGGGCATGTGAGGAGCGGGAGGAGGTGTATTTGCATTCGGAGACATTTGGGTGGTAGGCGGTGCGGGAAGGGGAGGGGGAGGGGGAGACTGCCGACGGAGACGTTCGTTATTGCGGGGTTGGTACTTTCGCGGATCTTATAGACTACGTTATAGATGTTTTCACCACTATCATTATCATCATCATCATCACCATCATCACCATGCTACGACGTTCGCTACAATCACTTCTTTTTTCTTTCTCCTGGCTATGGTTGGGGTTATCGCAGCGCGAGAGACCTGTTTTATTTACTTTTCCTATGTGGTGTCTCTATTTTTGTATTGTAATATCTTTTCCCCCGTCTCTATCTCTTTTACTGTGCATGATTATATTACGATACCATTACCCCTCCCCCATATATATGTATAATCTGCCTTTTTGTGTATAAAACAACGACCCTTTTTTTTTCATCCTTTACTCTGTCGGCTTTCTCAGCATAGCTGTCTTTCTGTATGTATTTATTTTATCTTTATTCCGCTATCTGGCTGTATTTATAAAACTGGGTGTGGGGGCGGGGAGCGAGTTGGTGGGGGGGCGTAAAGTTGGATCATTTTTTGGGGGGGTGTTTTTAATTGAAATTTGTTGTATGGGTTTTTTATCCTATTGGGATTTATCTTACTTTTCTACTTGCCTATATATTGTGCTGGGCGTTTTAATCACCAACAAACATCTATAAAAACGCCGTGCACCACCTTCCTGATTAACAGCTAACGGTGAGAGTGTTGGAACTTATACCTACAAGTACTACATGTACTTGAGCGACCTCCTTTCAATTGCCCCACCCACACACACACACACACACACACACACCTTAAATAACCGAGAGGTAGGGTGCGGTGGAGCAGTGTACCTGCCTAGGTGTGTGTTTATACCTCATGGCCCATGACACGCGACACGCGACAGGAACGTTCAAGTGGTGCTCCGACGCTGGTGTGTAGCACAGATAAACATCTCAATCTAGCATATATCTCCACCGGCGTAATCTACCCTACAGACGCTACTCTGCTACTGGCTGCCACCAGATCTTCTACATGGTACTACTCTATGGAGTGTAAGTACACACATTGCTACTGATGCTACTATATATATCTCCACATACCTAGTTCTGAAAGTGCAACTCTTCATGTTGTTGGTTAGTTACTCCAGTTTGTCCAGGCCGGTTACTAATACCCTCTCCCCCCACCCCACCATCGCCACTATTAATAGCACCCCAAAAAGAAACTATGGCATACACACGCCCCGCGATGACGTCTATGCAAAATCCTCCAATCACTTGCATTCATGCTAGCAGGAGTTCTCTGAGGAGAGAACGTATCGTGGTGGCACAGTGCAGATAGCGGGCCGAGTGACGGGTTATGCTTATGCACCTAGCACCACCACCCACGCACGCATTCGTGCCTGATCGATGGATCTTCATGCATGTCTGGGTGTGGTGGGTGGTGGTACCTGAGGTGTTGTGGCGGCGTGGTTGAAACCGCGGTCAAACAGTTGTGGTAGGATGATTGGCGGCTGTGTTCTTCGTACCCGGGGAACTCAATTGTTGATTATACAGGGCAGTCCAGGCATCCAGGAAGAAGAGGGTTCTGAGTAATGTAAGATAAACATAACGGTTTATAAGATTAATCTCCAGCTGCCCCTCCACCCGTGCCCCACTCAATGATACACAGTGCGTCTCATGAGGCGGAAATGACTGGATCGCAGGTAGGAAGCTATAAGGAAAGGACCAAAAAGGACAAAATGATTGTATCCAAACAACCCCACGCGGGGCTCGAACCCGCAACCTTCAGATATCAAGATAGAAGTCTGACGCGCTACCATTGCGCCAGCAGGGCTGATGATGTACAAGGATCACGTCGTTGTGCATTTGTTAATACTACTAGTGTAGAAGGTGCATTACTAAGTTTGCCAGTACCCTGCCGAAAGGTATTGTTTCGAGTTGTCTCTCCATATGTCCGTATCATGCATTGGACGACTTTTAACCTGAGATGTTTCGCGCGAAATTTGCCATGTGGTTTGGAACGTTGTTTGGTGGTGGTCAGGCAAGGTGCGAAAATTATGCAGTTTGCCAAGACCACTAGGCGTGGGATGAGCCCTTGTGAACCACCAGCAATCCGATACTTAGGCAGCAGATAGGTCGTATCTACAAGTCATATGGCAGGCACCCTATACAATGCAATGCCTGTTACTCTTTAACTTTACCGGAAGGACGATCTGTCTCGCAAAATATACTCATAATACTAGTACTCGATCGGGTTTCTTCGCAAGAGAGCACGTATGCCCGTTACACGTTAGTATGTCTTCTTAATATCCGCCCATATGATCGAGATAGAATTCTCAGAAAATAATTAAGGAACCGCAGTCAAAGCCATTCAAGACCTATAATCACCTGATTCTTCACGTCATCGTGATCATGTACTACTGAAGGAACCTAGAACGAATGACAAGAACGAACGTTGACAAATAGAAGACCTAAACACAGACGGGTACCTAGTACGAGTGTTAAAAGGTTCCAAATCCGGTGAAGAGAGTCTATATCGATTTCCAGTCTCTCCTGGAGAGTGTCTGAAGGGTCCCGGTGAAGATGAGGGTACGGTCGGCGGGCAAGTCGAGCATGAATGAGAAATTTGAGTTATCACAATTGACCGCTAAATACATGTAACCCTAGGCAGTCCTACCTAACCCTAGCGGATCTCGCGCCAGACCGTAAAGGGGGGCTTGGGGAAGGTGTCGGGACGGGCCCGTACTCTAATTGAGCATAAAACTAGTTCAAAACTCGCATGCCGGTTAATTAAACACCCCGTAGCGGGTAACCCACATAACAACTGAACTGATCAAGGTGGGTATGTCGTGTATCTAAAGGCGTTGGAAATGAGAGTATTAATTTTATATTACTCGATCGAATAACTAACGACCACCAAATGAGAGTTCTGGGAAAGGGAAAACCGACTATTGATATGTTTTTCTAAATAGAATATTTGACCAAGACGTTGCGGTAATCCCGACACCCACGAGATTCAGGAGGGAGTAAAGGCAAGGCGGTGACAGATCATGAAATAGCACTCGATATGTCAATCACAAATCGAAGTCTTATTTTTTTGTTTTTTTGCTTAATTCATTAATTACATGCAACCTTTCGGTTATGGCAACATCACAACCCCAGAACTACCCTGCTAACTCCTAGCCACATTCAATAAAGGGCATTCAGCAAGCTAGCACTCATCCGCCACCACTACCTAACTAAAAGAACAGGAACATATAACCAAACGCACTACTCCAAAACAATTTATGTCCTCTCTACTCCCCCCGGCCCCACCGAATATTTTCCACTGTACATTCCAATTTCGTCCCTATCCTCTCTTCTTACCCAAATCTTTTCGATTGTGATAACCGCGCCCCATTCTTCTTCTCTTTTCTTGCCTCTGATCCCGCAGCTGTAGTCCGTATCTTGTCTTCCGACCAGAATTTGTGAGTCAGGGCAGTACAAAGCCCATCCTCTGAGAGTAATGTTGCCTTCCCGGCTTGTCCTGTAATAGTCGTTAACCTGTTTCTGATATTTATTGATTGCCAGTGCTGTTGGCCCGTTATCTAGAGTCTTATATCTTCTTTTTCTTGTTCGTCTGGGGGAGAGTTGTCTAGTACGAGTATATCCGCTAGGGGAGTGTTGTTTAGTCGAATTTCTTCTGTTGGGGTTTCTGGTCTTTCAGGTGTGGTCGGTTTTGATATGTCGGTTTCGGGTGTAATCGAAGTCTTATTCTTTTGTTCAATTCAACAAATTGAAGTCTTTCTGCGGAATACCACTACTTGTTTCTTGGTTATCATTACATGATGAGTAAATATAGAGCTATCTGTACCCAGGGATAACTGACAAGAAGATCTTCTCTGCCATCACAAATAACCATCACAAATAACCACGGAAGGTGGTTCTTGGTAGGTAAATATAACCCCGGGTAAAAATATACGCCCAACAAAACCCCTGACACCATGTCCTGAACTCTCGGATGAGATGGAAATGATCGAATTCTATAAGTATAAACTGTCTGTTTCAAGTTCCCCAACTGCCCACGAACCAAACTATAACCAAAGACTGACACTTTGGCGGAATAAAGTGGTCGGATGTCGATTAAATTGAAATGGTTGGGGCTTATGTTCGCAATGACCAACTTCAACAGATAAATTCTCTTAAACTATGAATAAGATGAATTATACTTATGCCTTGTGGTAAGATATCCTAGACTCCGTACTGAACGTTTCCTGGCCATGTACTTTCCTGAAATATCGTCTCGACCGCAATCTTAGTATTTCCTTTTCTCAGAAATGATCCATGTTCTTGGCGGCTTATATCCCATGGCAGTTTCCCAACCTGTTTAGGAGTGATCTGAATCATGCAATATCACTCGAAGTCCTCCAAAACGTTTTTTTTCTCTTCAAATCTATTCCATCAAGTACAGTGGCAAATCTTTCTAAAACCTTTGATCCAACGTAGTTATTATTCTTTCGTATCAGATAGGCCCCTATCAAGTTAGTTGTTTCACCGCGAGAGCTTCTCATTATTCGTGAAATAAGGTTTATATAAGGCTACAATAACCCTTACGATTATTTACAGTACTTGTATGTTTTGGACGGCCTTACAGGCTCTAGAGTGTCGTGCGCATCTGTTGCGCTCGTTTCTCGTTTTCTTTGCTGCCTGCGGTTTAGGTGCTGTCGGGGCGGCCTACATGGTAGATGGATTAGTTCGGTCTGCCCCCCAGTAGATGTTGCCTACTATTTTGCGAGTGGGTTGTATACAAAATTTGCTACTACCCGCCAGAACCTTAGCGGGCGCTCATTGAGGGTCCGCGCTTGCTGGGGTGGTACAGGCGAATTGGGCTGGGGGGAGAACTAGACCGTTTTCACCCTTTTAGTACATTCTTGGCAAGTCTTTAAGCTACAAGCACATGAGTCTCAAGATGAAAAATTAATTAGTCTCATGCTATTCTAGGAACAGGACTTCTAGATATCTCGCCTCGGGGAGGACACTAAGATCCCGAGGTACATGTACTGACCCTTCAGCAACTTCCAACACTACACCCGCCGAACCCAACCACAACCCGAAACTGGCCCAGAAAATCGACAAAAAGGACAGGATTGAGTTCAGTATCCAGGATTCCCACATGGTCACCCACTGCAGTACTAACTGGACGATATGTTGCTTGTGTATGGCAGAGCGAACGGGATGCCCAATTTTCAACATTCTATGACTGAACACGGGAAGTTCTGTAACAAAACGATTTTATTCGTAGATCTAGCTAAAGTTCCATCAGTGGAGTGTACACATTACTTATAGATATGCCCCAGAAATTCAAGCTTACAGTTGGGTGCCTGATGTCATCTCCGTCTTCTATCAGTGATGTAGTGTCAGTAATAATTATATACTAAAACTGCCGTTCTCCGCGATACTGTGAGACAAGGCTAAGATCCAGGATTGACTCGTCTTACCCTTCCCGGCACAGGCTTTATAAAAGCGAGTCAAGATGACCTAAAACCCATTTAAAAAGACTCTTATTTCTCCCTTGGTTATACTCTTTAGATATTACCTATCTTCTGGTCTAAGTATCAACTCAAATGATATCTGATAGATGTCTCGTTGTGTCCGTCATACTCGTCATCCTCGTTACGCTCATCGTGTCCGTCGTGTCCGTCGTGCACATCGTAAGCCCTGATATTCCTAGACTAGACTGGCTAAACTGTAGATTCTTTCTTAGAGCACCGTATATTCACAAAGGATGGGGGGGCTCAAAGAAGGAGAAGGGGAATGATAGAACGAGGGTGCTTTGCTTTATCTTACTCATGTTTCGTTTTGGTTTTAGTTTTAGTTTTGTTTTTGTTTTTGTTTTTGTGTTAAAACTGGCACTTGTGCGAGGCGGCGGTTGAGAACGGGTAGTTTAGGGGCTGCGATATTACCATAGACTACGGTCTACATGTAATCAATGAGTTAAACAAAAAAAAAAACCGTATATTCACAAGCTGTGTTTAGAACCTAATATAGCCGGACGAGCTAGGAATGGAGGAAGAAAGAGCTTCGATTGGAGAACTAGGGTCCGGAGACCCTTCTCTCCGAACGGTCGAGCAGCTATGTTCTTTTGAAATATCAGAGGAGGACTACTTGTGGTGCAGTAAAAGATTTCCTGTTTTTTTTAGCAGCTATTCCCGTAGTTATTGGTTATATTTGGCGCGTTTGAGCGTTCTAGAAGATACACATATTATGACTATCTATATGATAGGAAAGGTGGTCTGGAGACGGCTTTCTCAGGTGCTTTCTCAGGTGCTTTCTCAGGTAATCATATTTTTGGAACACTTTAGGATACACTGTCTTGAGCTTGCAACGAGCTATAGTTTAAAACGGTTCTAATATTGCAATGCCACTTTAATTTTGATAGACATGAATTCAAAATATATATTCGCAGTCCATCACTCGACCAGAAATCAACTGTATTTCCAATAAAGGACTGTTTCGTCACTCAGATCTTTTCAGGACATCCACAATCAAAATCCCAGTCTTGGCGTCTTTCAGGCTGAGCTGGCCATCCTGACAATCCAGCTCCACCGTCGACTTAATCTCTCCCTGCTTCTTCCAGTCTGGAATGTTGACTGTGATCGTCTTCCCCGGCACTGGATTCACCATTAAACTAGCGCCCTCCTCCCAATCATATTCCGCGACATCCGTTCGGTTTCCCATCAATACCGCCGACCCGGGTCTGAGCAGCACCGGCATCGAGAAGAAATCATGTTTCTCTTTGAAATATCCGGGCCCCTCCCGAATCTTATGATCTAGTAGCCCGTACCACTTACCTTT